AGATTATAGACCAAATTCCTGTAGTCTTTGCCGAAAGTCCTTGCACTCAACTTCACATTGCATTGTGCCATTTGTATGCACCCAGATGATTTTCTTCTGTCATGTAGGTACAATCTCTTAATTCTTCAATCATCACTTGCTGTTGTGCGCCTTTTCCTGCCTTTACCAGTGTGGTTTTATAGTGACTGAGTCTCTTTATACCTCTTCAAAAACTTAGAAATGCCACTTTTGGTTAAGTTTCCACCAATTTTTCTTCTAATTTCTTTATAACTGTAACCTTGTTCACTTAATAATACTATTTTACATCACTTTCTGGGTGACCAGTCAACTCTTTGCACCATTACTTTAATTTTATTATGTTTTACAAACTCACTAAATGAAAAAAAAAAACAACCAACCAACTTGATAGTGATCACATAACACACTGACAGATGTGCTCTTCTCAGCTTCAATACATGACATCAATAACTGAATCCTACTGCGATCTGATTGGCTCATTGCCAAAACAAGATGATACCTGATTGGCTCTCTAAACACTCATGCTCATTGGCTACAATCAGATGAAGGAAAGCTACCTGATATCAACCTAAACAAGTTGTGCTTCCTTTTTCTGGTTATTCGGCTATAACTTTTCATAGAATGCAGATAATTGAAAAAACTTTGTTGCATTACATTCTTGATTAAATTCTCTTTCCATTGATATATAAATTTATGGTACTACTCCAAAAAAAGCCATCAAACCTCAAAAATACACTTTTCCCAAAAGGTTTCCACAATTTTGGCCACTACTGTATGCCATCTTAAAATAATATTTAGGGTACTGGTTTAAATCCAGCAGAATTGCTAGGAAGCCTTAAGTTTTATTTCATTCTAAGCCTCCAGGAGAAAATATAAAATATAAATACATATAAATATTTTGGAATAATTTTTATTTTATTCATGAACAAAACATGCATCTTGATTTTCCTTATGTTGGGTGAATATATGTTAGAAACCTTTTTAGCAATTTTTACAAAAAGTTTTGAGTTAACTACTAGCTTAGATTTGAACCACTCCATCTCCTTGTTTCTAGTGAATTAATAAAGTGGAAGTCTAAACAGCCATCAGATTCATAAATTACTAGAAATGCAAAAGATAACATATAAGGGTTTAAGGCACATGCTCCAAGATGGCGGCCTCCAGCTGATCCTCCATTGCCGGAGGGGCTAATTTTTGGCATTTCGGGGGTTGTATGGGCCAAGCTTCTTTTCTTTGGTCCGGCCCTGCTAGATGAATATGTTCCGGTCCCATAGAGAGCTTTTAAGAACTTGTGCTCTCTGGAACATCTTTGGGAGCTGAGAAGAGCCAAGAGGAGCTGCTGTGAGGCAGACACCATTGGGAGGCTTAGGCGACGATGATCGGTGCAGCGGCTGCAGTTGCAGCTACTCGGCATGTTCCTGGGGGCGGCTAGAGCAGCGATGGCAGCCAAAATGGCAGCGGCGATGCGGCAGCCTTTGTCGGATCCCCGGGGGTTCATGGAAGACTCAGGGGATGATTTGGCTGCTGGTGGCGGCGGCGGCAGCGCGGGGGCGGCTATGATGGCAGCCATTGGGACAGCACCGAGAGAAGTCAACCTGGTCAAATCATCTGCTGTGGAGAGTGAGAGGAGTTCGCTGATGGTTTATCATCTTGAAATTGCTCCGGATGGGAACCCTGTAACGATCTGGGAAGCAACTATATGATCTATATGAACTATAGGATTGCTGGAAGACCTGAAGGAGACTTGGAAAGGCTGGATGGCCACAGAAAAGTGGCTGGTTGGCTGCCCTTATTTGGTCTCTCTTTCCCCTAAGGCCTGGCTTCAGGCATTGTTTGGTCATCCGCCATCCAGACTATTTCTATCTGCCGTGAAGAACTTTCCCCTGGCCTTGAAAAACCCTCCCTGGGATCTTCAAGGCCAGGGGCGGGGGGGGGTAGCGGTTGTTATAAAAGAAGGTCTTGGTCCGAGGGAGGCCACTGTTCCTCAGATTGCCGGTTGTGAGTCCCTCCTGGTGAAGTGGGATCATGGGGTACAGGTGGGCTTGCTGATCACGTACCTGGCTCCCTGCCACGTGGCAGCGGCCCTGCCCGAACTACTCAACGTTATAGTCGGGGTGGCGGTTGATACCCCGAGGCTTATGGTCATGGGGGATTTTAACCTGCCATCCATCGGTGAAGCGTCAGGCAGCGCGGGAGTTCATGTCTTCCATGATGGCTATGGACCTGACCCAGCTAGTGCATGGCCCTACTCACATGGGGGGAAACACTCTGGACTTGGTTTTTGTCTCTGGCCAGTGGTTGAATGATCTCGAAATTGGGGATATAGTGACTGAATCCTTGTCATGGTCGGATCATTCCCTCCTTTGTCTTGACCTTCGAACTGCTACACCCCGCCGCAGGGAGGCGGAACCGATGAGGTGGTTCCGCCCCAGGCGCCTGATGGACCCGGATCAGTTCCAGACGGAGCTTGGGCCGTTTCCTGAGGCTCTGGCTCACGGCTCGACCAAAGACATGGTGGCCGCCTGGGATAGGGCGGCCGCTGGAGCTTTGGATCAGGTCGTGCCTTTGCGGCCTCTGACTCGGCACCGATCTCGCTTGGCTCCTTGGTTTACCTAGGAGCTGAGGGAGATGAACCGCCGGAAAAGATGCCTGGAGAGCGGTTGGAGGGCCAGCCAGTCTGAATCTGACCGAACACTGGTAAGGTCTCATATTAAGACTTACCTTGTGGCGATAAAAGCGGCAAAATATAACTATTTTTCCACTTATTGCGTCATCAGATAACCGCCCAGCCACCCTGTTTAGGGCCGCTCCCTGCTCCTTCAGGAAATGCGGGAGGACCCCTTGGAGGGTAGAGCCGAGGACTTTGTACAGTATCTGTATGATAAAATCGCTCAGATTCGGGAATATATGGACTCTGACGGGGTAGATTCAGGGGGGAGGATGGAGGCAGGTCGTGAGAATATTATCTGGGAAGAGTTTGATTCTGTGACCCCCGAAGACGTGGACAGGATACTGAGTAGACTGAATACTGCCACATGTTTATTGGACCCGTGTCCCTCCTGGTTGGTGCTGGCCTCTCGGGAGGTTACACGAGGCTGGCTCCAGGGATTATAAATGCTTCTTTGAGTGAGGGTGTCTTTCCCGCCGCCTTGAAAGAGGCGGTGGTGAGACCTCTCCTCAAGAAGCCTTCCCTGGACCCGGCAGTATTGGCTAATTATCGTCCAGTCTCCAACCTTCGCTTTGTTGCGAAGGTTGTTGAGAGTGTGATAGCACGACAGCTCCCTCAGTACCTGGATGAATCGGCTTATCTGGATCCGTTCCAGTCGGGCTTCAGGCCTGGGTACAGCACGGAAACGGCATTGGTCGCATTAGTTGATGATCTCTGGAGGGCTCGGGACAGGGGTTGTTCCTCTGTCCTGGTCCTATTAGACTTCTCAGCGGCTTTTGATACCATCGACCATGGTATCATGCTGCACCGGCTGGAAGAGTTAGGGGTGGGAGGCACCGTGCTGCAGTGGTTCTCCTCCTTCCTCTCTGACCGGTCGCAGTCAGTGTTGGCAGAGGGGTAGAGGTCGTCCCCGAGGCCCCTTGTATGTGGGGTGCCACAAAGATCGGTCCTCTTGCCCCTTCTGTTCAACATTTATGTGAAGCCGCTGGGTAAAATCATCCGTGGTTTCGGGGTGAAGTACCACCAGTACGCTGATGACACCCAGCTGTACATCTCCACCCTGGACCACCCCAATGATGTCCTTGAAGTGATGTCCCAGTGCCTGGAGGCTGTACGGATCTGGATGGGGAGGAACAGACTCAGGCTCAACCCATCCAAGACCGAGTGGCTGTGGTTTCCGACATCCCGATATAGTCAGTTGGTGCCATCACTGACTATTGGGGGCGAGTCGTTGGCCCCCCCGGAGAGGGCTCGCAACTTGGGGGTCCTCCTGGACTCACAGCTGTCTTTAGAAGAGCACTTGACAGCTGTGGCCGGGAGGGCATTTTATCAGGTTCGCCTGATTCGCCAGTTGCGTCCTTTCTGGATCGGGACTCATTAAATACGGTCACTCATGCCCTCGTCACTTCCCGCCTGGACTACTGCTCCTTGAGGAGCACCCGGAGGCTCCAGCTGGTCCAGAATGCGGCCGCGCGGGTGGTTATGGGAGCAATGTGGCGCTCCCATGTGACCGCCCTCCTGTGCAAGCTGCACTGGCTCTCGGTGGTCTTCCGGGTGCGCTTCAAGTTTCTGGTTACCATCTTTAGAGCGCTCCATGGCTTAGGACCAGGGTATTTACGAGACCGCCTTCTGCCACCGACCAGTACGCTCCCAGAGAGAGGGGCTCTTCAGGGTGGCGTTGGCCAAACAGTGTCGACTGGCGGCCCCCAGGGGGAGAGCCTTCTCTGTGGGGGCACCCGTCATTTGGAACGAGCTCCCCCCAGAGATACGGAGGATCCCGGACCTACGCGCTTTCCGCCATGCCATCAAAAAATTTCTATTTCAGCAGGCCGGCCTGGCCTAACCTCTCTTTTAAATTGTTTTTAAAATTTTTAAATTTTAAACTTGCCTTATGAATTTGGGGTGTTTTAAATTTTGTTTTCTGGGCCAATTATTTAATTGTATTTTAATGGTTTTTTAACATTTATATTATATGTATTTTATTCAGCTGTTCACCGCGCTGAGTCCTTCGGGAGTAGGGCGGTATACAAATTCAATAAATAAATAAATAAAAGTCTTTTCCCTTTGTTTAGCAATTTATCATTTTGCTTGCACATTAACCAAGAAAGTTCCCTTGAGGTAAGCAATGGAAAGATAAATGTTTTTTTCTTAATTTTTTTCAGTCATAACTAGTAGATCATAAGTGAAAAGAGTGCACATGTCAAAAGCATGTATTAGTGTCACAAATCTTTATATCCACTGCCAGTAGCAATAAAAAAAAAGGATTGGTGCTCTGATAAATAATTGTGGGGTTTTGTTTTCTTTTATACAACAGGCACTAGGTTTTCAAGTCCCAGGCTACCAACAAGACCAAGTCGAAAACGAACATTGTCCTTATCGCCGCTGTCTGATCATAGTTTTGACCTTCAGACCATGATCCGCACATCTCCAAACTCCTTAGTGACAATTCTGAACAATTCCCGTAGCAGTTCTTCAGCTAGTGGCTCTTACGGGCATTTATCTGCAAGTGCAATAAGGTAAATCCTGATATGTAGATGTCTTGCAAGACTTCATAAATCCTTTTATGAGCAACTTTTTGTACAACTTTCATTTCAAGCAATTGTATCTGGGATCAAGAAATTAATCCCCTCCCAAAGAATACTGTATCATTTAAATATCCTTTTTTTTTTAGTATAGTATGAACACCAAAAATAAAAGATCCTGAGCAATCAAAACCATTTAAATGAAATTTTAGGAAGAGATACAAGGAATGCAACAAATTCAAAGGAGGCATATTCTAAAATGCATGAAGATTTTGAAAGAATACTTCAATATAAGTATGTTTTTCAGAATTCTGGGAAGAATAGGACCTTTTATGAGAAAATAATTTCATAAGACCTTTGATTTTCTTTTGTTATTCTTTCTTGATGAATTCTGGGACAGATTGGTTATATGTGATACAATTTAATGCAATTGAGTTATTTTTCTTTTAAAGCCATCTAAATTACTATATCATCCAGTGGAATCATGTTCCATAATCTTTTAAAAAGAAATTTAGCTCATTATTTTGCAATGTCTCAATTATTCTTTATTTATTTCACCAGGTTTGAGTGTTGCTAAAGGTGCATCTGAATGTTTTTGGCTATTGGAAAAATGTCTGTTTATGAAAGCTAACACTGATAGTTATATGAAAAGATCGATTTCATCACAATACATTTTTGGTGATGTTGATGGATATTTAATCTTATTGATAAAAGGTTCTAACTTGGGCAGAAAGAAGAGACCTGATTAATGGTTTGCACCTGGTTGCCTCTATACCAGCAATTCTCAACCTGTGAGTCGCGATCCCTTTGGGGGTCGAACGAGCCTTTCACAAGGGTCGCCTAAGACCATAGGAAAACACATATTTTCGATGGTCTTAGGCAGTATTGGGTTGCTACCGGTTCTCACCGGTTTGGGAGAACCAGTAGTAAAAATATTTAGTCGCTCGCAGCACCGGTAGCAATGGTAGGTTGGCCACGCCCCCAAACCGGTCGCCCGGTCGCCTCTCGCTCGCCCTGGCCACCATGTTTGTTGCCGCCATGTTCTTCACGCATGCGCATCTCATTGCCTTGCAACTCCAATGGGATGTGCATATGTGAAGAACAAGGCGGTGATGACAGCAGCTTTCCTTCAGAGAAAGCTTTCCAGCAGCGGCAGTTGGCTAGGGGCTGCTCTGGACCAGCCGCCGCGGAAGGTAAGCAGCCGAACAAAGAGGCGGTGATGGGGGAGGAAGCAGGCAAGTGGGCCTGGCTACAGGACCACCTGGAAGGGTGCATGGAAGGCAGGCAAGCATGTCAGGGCCGCCCAGCCGTAGGGAAGGAAAATACGCCCAGGAAAAGTCCCGGGGAGTTCCGGGACTTCCCGCCGCTGCCGCCAATGCCTGCAGCGGCAAAAACCATGCAGGAAAAGTCCCAGGGAGTTCCGTGACTCCCTGCCGCCGCCGCTGGTGCCTGCAGCGGCAAAAACCACGCAGGAAAAGTTTTGGGGTGTGCCCCTTGAAGCTCCTGTTTCAACCCCTGCCTCTGCCTGCCCTAGCCTGAAGCTCCTGTTTTGGGTGCCGCTGCTGCCACCGCCGTGGCCAGGCATTTTCTCTCGGGCCTCCCAGTCTCACTCTCCTAGACTTTGAAGGAGGGAGGGAGAGAGAGAGAGAAAGAAAGAGAGAGAGAGAAAGAGACAAAGAAAATGAGAGAGAAAAAAAGAAAGAGGAAGGGAGAGACAAGAAAGAAAAAGAAAGAGACAAAGAAAGAAAGAGAAAGAAAGAAGCAAAGGAAGGGAGAGAGAGAGAAAAGAAAGAATGAAAGAAAAAGACAAAAAAAGAAAGAAAGGGAGAGGAAGGGAGAGACAAGAAAGAAAGAGAAAAAGGAAAGAAAGAAAGAAGGAAGGAGAGGAGAAAAGGAAGGAGGAGACTGAGGAGGGGGGAGGAGGAGGAAGGGAGAAGGAAGAGAGAAGGAAAAGGAGGACAGGAAGAAAAGGAGAGGGGGAGGAAGAGGAAGGAAGAGCGGGGAGGAGAAGGAGGGGGAGGCTGAATCTGGAGCCCAAGCCTGCAATCGCCCCCCCCCCTTTTTCCAAATTAAACCCATTTTTCACCTGGTGTAAACTTGCTCAGCCGTTCTTTGGTTCACGTCAGCAAAATCCGCCTGGCCTGCCCTGCTTTCTCTCTCTCTCTCTCTCTCTCTCACTCCTAAACCCCCCCCGCCCCATGCAGGAGAGGCGTGTTGGGGGGCAGAGGAAAGAGGGCTCTGCTGCCCCCCTCCCCGATCAGGGGAACCCCCCCCTTCCTCACACCCCTTTGATGGAGGGGGCAGGCAGGTCCCCAGAGGGAGGTTTTCCTGCAACAAGCATCAAGGATGAGAATCTGCAAAGGGCTGTGGGGGGGGGGCAGGGGAGGGGAGGGGAGCAAAGAGAGGGAGGATGGGGGGGGAAAAGAGATTTGGGGGGGTGTCTGCACCCCCACCCCCATCACCATCATCAGCAAAAAAGGGAGACTCGGCTGTCTTGTTTTGCCGTCTCCCGATTTCGGTTTTGCTCGAGCTGGGGGTTTTTTTTTAATGCAATTTTTCCCCTGTTGCCAAGGCAACCTGACTTAGCAGTACCGCAAAAGAACGGGTGGAAATTGGGGAGGGGGGGGACACCCTGCCTGGAGGAAAGGAGGGGAGGAAGGGCTCACGCGGCTGCTTCGAAGGCAGCCCTTACCCGGAGTCCTCCGCTTACCACGGTCCGTTTAGTGACCGTCCGAAGGTAACGATGGATGGGGGGAAAAAAAGCGATTTGAGGACCGAGGTTCACACTTAACAACAGTCGCAGGATCAGGGGATCAAAATTCGGACGCCTGGCAACTCGCATTTACGACGGTCACAGGGGGGGGGTCAGCCCGATCCCCTTTTGCGACCGTCTGTAGGGAAGCCAGATTCGCTTAACGGCCTCGTTGCTCATTTAAAAATTGCGGGCGTTCCCTTCACGAGGGTGGCGAGGAAAGGTCGTAAAACAGGGCAAAGCTCAAGTTAACCCGTGTCTTGCTTAGCAACGTAAGTGTTGGGCTCCGTTGAGGTCGTAACTTGAGGACTAACTGCATTATTAATAATAATAATAATTTTAAATTTTGTATTGGTTATGTGTTTTAGTTCTGGCTGTGCACCGCCTTGAGTCCACTAGGAGAAGGGCGGTAATCAAATTGAATAAAATAAATAAATAAATAAATACAATGTTTTTACAATAAATATGTTTTTATCTGGCTGTACACCGCCCTGAGTCCCTTGGGAGAAGGTGCGGTATATAAATTTGAAATAAAATAAAAATAAAAAAATAAATAAATAAATAATAATAATAATGTGTCAATGATATTTGAGATCCGTTTTTAAATGTTCAGTTGACTGAGTTTCATGTTTAATGAATAAAAGTATGTAATAATAATAATAATAATAATAATAATAATAATAATAATAATAATAATAATAATAATTTATTTATTTATTTTATTATATTTCTATATCGGCCTTCTCCTGCGGGACTCAGGGCGGTGTACAGCCAGGATAAAACATAGCATATAAAATTTAAAAACATTTTAAAAAACAATTAAATAATATTGGCCCGAATTTAAAACAACCCAATTAAAACCGAAATTCGATTAATAGTAATAATTAATAATAGTAGTAGTAGTAGTAGTAGTAGTAATGTAGGGTTTTTCCTACCTAAGCAGGGGGTTGGACTAGAAGACCTCCAAGGTCCCTTCCAACTCTGTTATTCTAATCTATTCAATAATAATAATAATAATAATAATAATAATAATAATAATAATAATAATAATAATATCTGCCCACCACCGACTTCCATGCAAACCCCGATATTTTCCCACGCTCTGGCCAGGATTAGATGTCGCCCCGAAAGATTTTGGGGGCTGGGGAGGGAAGGAGGGAGACCCCCACCCAACCGAGCCCAGGGGGGGGGGCGAGGAAGGAAGGCAGATCCTGTCATCCTCCTTCGTGCCATACGTGTGCGTGTGTGCCAGGAGGGGAGGGGGTTTCCTAGCCAGCATTCCTGTCCCTGGGGGGGGGGTGGAGACCCCACTCATCACCCGTCTTGGCAGAGGAAGTTCAGGTGAGTGTGCATTTTTGTACACGTGCGTGTAAAGAGAGAGACGGACTGGCATTTGCGCCGGATTTCAGCATGCAGCCTGCAAAGCCCAAGGAAGACTTTACCTGTTGGGCTGCTGCCTGCTGGCTTGCAGGGGTTTTGCAAGCAGAGAACCCAACCCTGTTTTAGGGGAGGGGGCTTGAGTTGCTTATTGCCTAACAGAGTTGGAAGGGACCTTGTAGGTCATCTAGTCCAACCCCCCCCAGCAATCCAGACAGGTTGGCGTGTCGAGATCCGAAACTGGCACCAGAATTTGTGGATGGGAGACATTTGGGGGGCGCCGGAGGGTTCAGAAAAAAAGGGGGGCAGGAAATAGGGGAGCAGCTGCTTAATTAAGGGCGGCACCCCAAATGAGAAATAAATGAATACTGGTAGTCCTCGACTTGCGGCCGTTTGTTTAGTGACCGTTTGAAGTTACAACGGCATTGAAAAAAACTGATTGATGACCCGGTTTTCACACTTAATGACCGTCGCCGCATCCCCATGGTCGCATGATCAAAATCCAGATGCTTGGCAACTATTTATTCGTAGTTTATGACGGTGCACAGCGTCCCGGGGTCACACGATTCCCTTTTGCGACCTTCTGACCAGCCAAGTCCCTGAGGGAAGCCGGATTCATTTAACGACCGTGGGACTTACTTAATAACGATGTTATTTTCCCAACAAGGGTGGAAGGCTTGATTCGTTTAATGACCGGGGCAAAAACCCCTGCCCCAAAAGGTGTTAAAATGGGACGCAGCTCGTTTAGCGACTGCCTGGCTTGGCCACGGAAATCCGGGTTCCAACTGTGGTCATAAGTCGAGGACTGAGGGTGTGGGAGAGTAAAATCAGGAGTTTTAGAAAGGGAGAACAAAGGGGGGAGGAA